AATTCTGGGAGTTGAAGTCCACTCATCTTAAAGTGGCCACGTTTGGACAACACTGGTCTAAAGGAATCATTTACTAGTGCATTCAGTTCTGAAAACGATTCATCTCTGGGATTAACTTGCTGATCTAGGAACAAACCCTACAAGTTGCAGTTTTTAAGGAGGGTGCCTAAGCTGGAAGACAATCGCATCTACAGGATCTAGCGCTTTTGTCAAAATGACAAAGTGTTGTACACACAAGCTCTGCCCCTTCAGGATATGTGTGCAATGTTCTGATGCGTGTACAAAAAGAGCAGTGCTTGCATTGCATCCATGTGGTGCTGTTTTCATTATTTACCCCTCCCTGTGAGTGCCATCAGGCAAACATATTCATGATGGTGTCCTGCCATTAAATGAGAAATATTATTGGTGGTGGTGGTGGTGGTTCAGTCGTATTGGTGGTTAGGCAGAGTTTAAAAGGCATTTGGATTTTCAGACCAGCCCCCTCCTATTTGACACACCCATATCATAATCCACCCCCCCCCAATGAAATGGGAAGAAATGTCATGGGAACCTCACAACCTTGGTTCCAAGGCTTCCAGGTTGGCAAACTTTATGGCTGGGATGCGCTTAGAAGTGATGGAGAGGAGGCGGAGCAATAGCATCACCCGAGCTTTGAACTTGACTCTTTAGCAGCTGAAATGTGGTCGTAGTACATGATCATGCTGCTGTTTACCTAGATAGCACTTCCTGATGATTCACCTACTTTCTATTTAGGAGCAACAAAATGAAGGATTTATTGTCTTTGGATCCTGACTGATAGTTGATCTCTTTTAAAGATGCTTGCCAGGTGTCTGGGCTAATAGCTCTTAAGAATTGCTCTTGTTTTGCTAGAACGTTGTTGGCCAAAGTCCAAATGTTGGGCTTACGTTTGAACTCCATCCTCAACAGCAGCCCCTCACCAAATATCTAGATTTGGTCACTCTTTCCCACAGCGCTTGGCCAACAGGGCTCTTTGGATGCTGGGGAAAAGCATTCGGTCAGAAGCATCAGTCCAAAAGAGTGCTGTTGGACTGCACAACTGTTTGGATCTGGCCAACTGTTTCTTGTGATTTGAGGACAACAGCATCTTGACTCTCACCCAGTGAGCCAACCCACTTCCTATCCTAGGCAGCTGTGATATAACTGTGCTTCTTGAGGTCAGAAACCACGGCTGCCTTTGTTTTCTTCGGATGTTTTTCACCATGGTGCTCCTGTTCCAGCTCAACCAGAAATTCTGGGCTGAGAGGAAGAAGTGGTTGCCCCCAGGGCTTTGAAGCATGGAAAAATAGGGAGTGCTTGATTTCCCAGCTTCAAAACACACAACCTAACCCGTCAAAAAAACATGCACACCTGTGTACCCAAAGCACCCAAAATATAGTATTTAAATAAATTGAAAGTTCTGGAAGCTGCTCATTCTTCTGCTAAATTATCTTAGTTTATCTATCTCTTTTTGTTTCAGCTTTATGTTAGATCACTGCAAAGTTGGGACAAAGATACGAATCTCCCTCTAGGCTGTTTGCACAAGACACTATACTTTGTTTCTGAATTAGCCCTTTTTCTGGCTTCACTTCCTGCCTTACAAAAG